CTCTTGGGGAAAAAATGTTTAATAGGAGGAATGGGGATGGAATGGGACTTTGGTGCAATTATTTTACTCCTCTTTCTGTATTTTCTTTGACAGGTTTACTAAATGAAGTGCTAAGTGGATCTGTTCTTTTTAGTGTATGCATTAAATATAAATACATACCATTCTTAGTATTGTTTGCTCACTAAACTAGGCAAAGGGTATGAAAAAATCAGCTGTGGTGGCTTTTAGTTGTCTCTCCCTTTGTGAAAAAGGCACTGATTATCATCCTGTAGCAAAGAAATCATTCTGTGTGACAACTTAGAATTGTGTCCATCAAAGGGGCTGGGGGCATGTTTGTGTCAGTGGCATCGTTCTCCCATGCTACATGTTGACACCAAACTGTCAGCTAACCCAGCTGACAGTGTGGTAGTGGCAGAAGGGATTTTAGAGCAAAGAGAGGCAATATGATAGCCTGTATTTTATGCTATTGTTGCTAAGGAAAAATGGAGTTCCTATGAAGTGTGATAAAGAGCAAGTCAGCTCTGTGTCACTTCAAAGAATAGGATGAGGGTAAACAGCAGGAGGAAAAAGAGAACAAAGGAGACTTCAGCACGGCTAGTTAACTTTGCAAATTGCACTTGAAGTTAAATAACCAGTGTGTGGAAGATCTAAAGATAAATAATATTAAGTGCTTTCTTTACAGATTAATCTTGCTACCCAAGTGTGAAATCTCTCCCCTTACTCCCATGCATTCTTTACATTTTCCAGCTCTGCAGCACAAAAAATTCAGGTGGTTCATTGGTGGCTACATTAGGCAATCTGAGCCTACGATGTTTTTGTCCTTGATAACAGAAATTCACGCCATGGTTCGGTGCTAGATTCTAGTTTCCTAATGTGTACAATATGACTGTTCAGGGCTGGGTTATATTGATAGAAGTTTAAGAGTTTAAATCCTGTTGTAAAAGCATCAAACGCAGGATCCAGTGAAGGCTCTCCCAGTTTGCTGCAGTCCTTGTCCACCATTGTAAAGGAGACTTGAACCTCATCAGTGTTGTTTGGCATATTTGTGTTATTAGCTCAAAAGTAATCTTGGAAGTTGGAAAGTAGGAATTTGTTACTCTAAAAGTGCCCAAACCTGATGTCCTAAAAACTGTCCTACATCATCTTTTGGTGGCTTGTGTTGCCTGTTACTTATATGGTCCAGTGCTTCCTATTTACACACATGTGATTATTATGGGTTAAGCCTTAGTTTTACAACTCCATGAAGTAAAGGCAGTACGTCTTCTAGTTTTGTAGCAGGGTGGACTTCTTCATTTAAGTCAAAGTTGACATGGGATTGTGAAGTGATTGCACAAAATTGAAATGCAGCATACCTATATATAAAGAAATGAACAGCCTACCAAACTTTGTGAAAAATCTTTTTTTTTTTTTTTTTTTTTTTTCTGCCATGCTTCACAAGCCCTCCAAAATGTGTAATGGGTAACAAAGACCTCTCCCTGCTGTGTCTATATTTTTGTTCGCTGCTTTACATGCTTTTTCAGATGTGCATCCAGCAAATCAGGCTAGCTGTTCTCAAAGTGTTGTCCCTGATGGCCTAATGTTTATTCATCTACTTGTAGCTTGTTGGCTGAGATAAATTTCACCTGAGGACAGCATCTGCTCACTAATTTGTCACCTTTTCTTTTTCATGCCCTTAAGCTGTTTTTCCACCAGAGGCTTTGCAAGCTCAGTCTCATGAAGCACCAGCAGCAACACAAAATGCAAGGAAAACAAAGCAGACTGACGCTTGGTGAAAATAGGGTTGTGTAATGTGGCACTGGTTAGTGGCTGGATGACAGCCACGCGTGATGACATAGATGTAGTGGCATGCGTAACTGCAAGGAACAAAGGAGTTAATCAGCAACAATACTGTATAGAAGAAGTGTTACTGTGTATAAATACTTATTAGAGCCCTTGCCATAAAGCTTGTCATGGAGAGTCAGTGTGCTGCGGTTTAGTCTCCTAATATTCCTTTTATTACTCATTTTAGCTTTAGTTTTCTGGGTTGCCAAGTGGTAGTGAAACTGAGAAACACATCCGGCAGTGAAATAATTGCCCTGGATGAAGACGTTTGCAGCTTTTTAGAGAAGAAAATGTCATCCAGATGATGAATAAAAATCAATTCCTTCTTACGTAAATGAAACACAATAATAAATTGTGTTTATTATTAGTGAAACTTTGTGTTTCACTTCTGTTCTCTATTTTTGCATTGCAGTATGACATGGAAAAACAACTCTTTTCCTATCAGCTTTATAAAACATTGAAGAAGTGGCAGGCTTTTTTGTTTTTTAGAAATCATTAGCAGGATACAGCTGTGTTTTTCCTTTAAGATGCTTACCTCTAACTTGTGGGCCCCTGTGCTACAGTGTGCTGACACTGCAGAAGTGAATAGGTAACTCTTCAGCATACCTTGCTTTCTCCTAGACTGCCAAAATGTGTTGTGTGTACCGGTGACATGGCTCAGGTCTGAATACCACTCCTCTGTAGTACGAAAGCTGATGGGCTAGAGATCTGCTCCCCCCACTTTCCAGTTTTCTGTACCTGGCTGCAGATTTACAGCTTTCTTTTGTCCAGTGAAGCTCAGTAGTAAAGCGCAGCAACATAAACAATGCCCTCTGTATGCCAGTGTTTTCAGAGTATTGTGCAGTCACTGGAGGCTTGTTCCCAGATATGTGAGAAGATGAACTGCTGGGCACAGAACCATGCTCAGATCATATTCATAGCATAGGCCTGTGAAACACACAACAGTTTTGTGATACCATGATTAAACATGCATTTTCCACGTGTAAGCATGCATATACCTGTGTGTATGTGCCAAGAAACGGAGCTTTAAGTTCCTCTTGGAAAAAATGGGTCCAGCTGCTTGCTCCTCTCTGCACACTTTCTTTTTTTTTTTTTTTTTATCTTTGACATTTATAATGTCATCTTCAGTCTTATTTTTAGTTTCAAGCCTTTCTCTGATGCACTTTTCATACATTTTAATTGGCTAAATCAGGAGACTTGTAGCTGATGAATGCTTCCCCTCTGCAGCTGGAGCATCTAGAATAGGCACAAACCTTTCCATGCCTCATTTACTTCCAGTTCCTTTTTAAACAGACATGCACTGTTTCTAGACCTTCCTGTCTTTCCTCACCTGCTGTCAGTTCTTGTTGTACCTCTTACTAGATGAATTGTTGTTCCAGCTGTGTATTTGCATTTCACTGATGTTATTCTTGCAGCCAGATATTATGTATGCAGCCTTCCTACACCAGCAGTAATGACAGCAATACCCATGGGAGAGCTTTTGGCAGGTCGATTCTTACTTCAATTGTGTTCACAGTTTTGGTACTGCTCCCTGGTGAATGCAGATGTTCAACAAACACATGAAAAGATTGACTTCCACAGCTACAACGTTTGATGTTGCTTTAGGTTGAGAAGGGAAATAAAATTATTGTCGTCTTCTTTTTTTCCTGCACAGAGCTCTTCCCCTGTGAGTCAAGTCTTTATGAAATAGCTCTTCCTATTCCTTTCTATTACCATACTGTGGATGAAATAAATGTCAATTTTGATGTGCTGAGTCTATTATTCATCCCAAATGCTAATGGTTACGTTGTCGTGATTCCCCTCTCTCCCAGCCGATCAAGATTAGAGATGATTCTCTATGATTAGAAGTAGTTTAGAGGATCAGAGATCATTTCCTTCTGGCAAATTGTGTCTGGTTTCTACTGAAGCGTGAGGGCAACCCAGTGCCTTGTTCTACTTCATGCATTCAAATAAAATCTGACTTTTGACTTTGAGAATATGGGGGGGGGGTAAAGTTTTGTGAACTGTTTGTAGAAGAAGCTCCTTCATATTGAAAAAACAATATGCTTACAATTAAATGGGGGATTAGGTTTTAGGCTTCTTACTTGCATTTTAATTCCAACAAAGTGTTGTCATCTGTCTAAGGCTGTGCGTAGCTACAACCAGCATTTGCGAAGCTAGTGCAGCCACTAATCCCGTGGGAAAGTGCCAAACTTGTCAGGTTTTATAAATTGCTGTCTTTATGACAGGAAACTGGGAGGGGAAGGGTCTTGTATCTGAATGGAACAGCAAGGAGAAAACTGGTACGTAAGGACAGATGTGTCCCCAGTCCACTATTCTTCTATGGTAGAAGCAACGCCCAGAGCAAGGGTCTTGCTGAAAGATTGGATGCAAGCCATGAGAACTCTGTAAGCATCCGGTCAATGTTTTGGCTGGGCGAGGAGAAGACCTCCTGGAGGACAATTGAAAACAAGGCAGGCCTTTTGTTTTGGTTTGGTTTGTTTCTGTTCAGTTCTCTCTAAACATAACTATTTTTACGTATTTGTTGGTGGTAATACCTTTAGCTGAGCACATCATCAGTTGAGAATGATTTGAGGATGAGAGGCAAGCCATTGTCAACAGGGCAATGAGTCATGGACAGGGCTTCGGTCATGCCTCTAGCATCCAGCACCCTCAGGCAGGATAGGATTCCTAGACGGTTCCTTCATGGTCCATCTCCAAGAGGAGAACTTAAGAGCTTGTAATGCAGAATGTACTGCCTGGTCCCAGCATCCCTGAGAGGGTTGAGTATGTGCCAGAACCTGAGCTTCCTCCAAGATGGTGTTCATGCTCACAGTTGACTTCATGATGAGAAACGTCATTTCATATGGCAAGGAATATGGTGGTGTGTGGCTGAAGGGCCACAACTCATGCGAGTGCTTCCGGCTGGATTTGCTAGGTGAGAGGTTAGAGGCAAAAGTTTAAACCCAATACTAGATTTTTAATAAGCTGCAAAAAATATCTCTGTTCGATGGGTTAAATAGCTCAGTGAAACAGGAAGAAGAACCTCGTTGAGGTACACAACTTAGTTCTTCAGCAATGCCCGTAAAATTTGCATGTTTCATTTGCAGCAGATGCTTTAACTGTTTGCTATGAATTGCTCTTGAAAAGCACACCTTCTAACATATGCCACTCTTTTGTTTCCCCCTACTTTTTTACAGCAAGTGACAGGCAGAAGTTTTGGTGAGAAAGACTTCCGTTCTGGGTTAGAAAACGGCATTCTTCTGTGTGAGTAAGTAACACTTATGGTTTTGAGCCTTGAATATGTTCTTGACTATGGATGAAATGAATTTTAATGAGTATGTCTGTTAGTTTCCTTTTGCAAGCTTTGACGTTGTACACACTGGTATTTGACAGCAGCATCCTTTCAGTGCCGACGCTATTGTTATGGTGAGGATCGAAATGTGGCTTAAAGAAAACAGGCTTTGCAGAGTGCTTCCCTCACTCCACCCCAGCTCCTTAGCTGAGTTATGTGAAGTGAAAACGATGTTTGCTTTTTGGTTTCCTTTTATTTAAAGATGTTAACCACAGATTGGCGAATGGTGTTCCACACCTGCCTATAGATGTCTCCACTGCAGTGAAGTGTTTTGGAGCAACTCCAGGTCCGAGAGTCTTGGACCTGTCAAGAGTTAACCATCTGAACACCATCAATACTCAGCTGCTTTTATAGTTTCTGGAAAGTTTAGACATCCTCCAAATTTTACCTAAAGGTGTATTTGAATGATGTGTTTTGTAATTTTTGGACAAGAGATGCAAGTTAACTTTTGCATGTTTCTCTCTGTGGTTTTAACAGCGGGTTTTTGGCAAGAGTCTTCCAAAAGCACGTTGTGGCCTTGGATGCCAAAGCTGGTGACTTTTAAGAGAAATTTGGAAGTGTGCCCTAATGCCCCATGTTCTTTGAAAATCCCATGCAGGATGTCAGGAGTTTGGGATAATCTGCTGACCTGAATCGTCTGTATGGACGGATTTCTTTCCCTGGGCAGGCAGGGTTGTCCCTGAAGTAGGTAACAGCTGTCTTTGCACACCAGAAGGATGACGCTTGTGCAGAACTGAATGCATATTGCAATTTATGAATGAGATCTCCTGAGATGTTTAGCTGGAACATTGCAGCTATTGTTTGTTTTATACTAGGAAAGGTGCTGGAACTCGGAGTCTGTTTTCAGCAGTATGGTTGAGCTAATATCCTGTAAGTCAACTGTAGGTAGTTTACAATAGCTTTGAAACTTACATTGTGTAAATACCGCTGTATATCTCACTTGTGTCATTAATCAGATACCTTGAACTTTAGCTGTTAAAGTGGAAAAAAGCATAAAGGAAGTGATACGATCTTGTTTGATTGTAGTTGCATGTCTTTGCTGAGGAGTGGCTTTGGGAGGAGGGAAGTAGTTGTTATTGTTGTTCAAATGTTGTGTAACTCGGAAGGAGTGTGGCGTTTACCTCTCTGTACGCAAGGGTTGCCTCTTGCTCAAGATCTCACTCCTCTGCGTGTTCAATTGAAGTACTGAGTGCTGAGTCACTTCACAGTGCTCTTTAAACGTTAAGGTTGAATTGTGTTGCATGAAAAGTAAGGGATGTGTATCTCAAGATTAGATTCTAATCTTATCTGCAAGTACACAGATGTAGTCTGATTTAAATGCTGTAGATGGAAAGCTTAACTAATGATTTAGTAAAAAAAAAAAAAAAAAAAAAAAAAGAAGTGTTAATATGTATTTTTTAGGAGGCTGTAAGCTCCAGTAGCACACAGGTGAAGGGACAACACTTGGTTATACTGCTAACTTGTTCTGTGGTGTTGGGCAAACTGCTCGTCCTTGCTCACCCTTGTGGATCTGTGCAAACTAGTCTGAAGGGACCTATCTCCTCAACCTCTGACCTGAGAGGTCCGTATTACATGTGGCATCTGGCAGCCGTGGTTGGTGGATGAAATTCTAGTAGGCTGCATAGCATTAACCGGAGCCACCACTTAGGCCTTCAAGTCTGGCTTTCTGATGATGAAGAATTTATGACACCAACAATAAAAGTTTGTTCCTCGCTGCATCCAAGTCTGCTGTAAGAACTCAGTAGAAATTTGGAGGTGTAACACAGAGCTCTTAATGCATCTTTGAAAAGTACAAGCTTTGGCAGATGAAGCACTGGTAATTTTTTTTTTTTATCTCTTGCTCAGTGAAGCACTGGTAGTAAAGCTGCCACGGCAATACTGACTTTGTAGATAGGAGTTTTCTGTTTTGTCAGAGACCTCACCAGGGTACCCACCTTATGAATAAAATCTACCAGTATTCAAGCTCTCTCTTCCAATCTGTTGAGCTTTTATCACAACTCAACAAAGTAGATGAAAACTGCATCTTAAAATCTCTGATAAGCTAGAGAATGCAAGAAAGGAATTAGAGGTTTCTTAGGTTTCTGAAGATGGGAGAAGACATTACCTTTGGTCTGCTTTATCGGATTTGCAGCTTGAAAGTTTTAGGAAAAAGCCAAACTTGCCTCAGTTTGTCTCCACAGTAATTGCTAGTGTCATTAGCTGACAGCTCACAGTCAGGCACTTTTGCGGGTGATGTCCATGTGAGCATGGACTGGGGCTTACTTTCAGATGGGTGTTTCAGTGTTCTTGTTGCCTGTTGTAGTTTGAGATGAGGACTGAACGTGAACTTGGGTCCTGAGGGATCCCAGCAGCTACAAGACTGGGAACTGATGTCAGCTGGTGGACACAGCCACTTTGCCCTCAGTCTCCCAAACAGGTCTCAAGCTGCCCTTGGACCATGCAGGCTTTTTGCCCCAAAATGGGAGGAGGTAGGCACCACAGAATCACAGAATGGTTGGGGTTGGAAGGGACCTTAAAGACCATCCAGTCCCAACCCCCTGCCATGGGCAGGGATGCCTCCCACTAGATCAGGTTGCCCACAGCCTCATCCAGCCTGGCCTTGAACACCTCCAGGGATGGGGTCCAGTCTGCTAACAGCCAGACTAGCCCTGTGCAAAATGACACAGGGGAAATGTTTGTCTGCAGCAGGTTGTTGGAGCCTTTCACACAGTAATGCCAGGCCTCCCTCCAGCTGATTGCAATGCTTATGGCCTACACTTCGTCAGGTGCAGGTTCCTGTTTCAGCGAGGCAGTAACAGGAGCTTTCCCTTTTCTCTCTTATCTGCTCCTTTAAGGGATATTTCAGAACCTGTAGTGACGCTCGCCTTCTCCTGCAAGCCTTTTGCAGCATTTCTCTTCCCTGCTGACAGACCCTTGACTCATAAATCTCTCCCAGCTGCGGCTCTGGTAACTAGCAGACTACTGAGATGTGAACGCTTGAGGTACTGCTGTAGCAGTCCACTGCAAACTCAGGCAGATGTCACTACACTGGTTACAGATCATTCATTCACGTCCAGCAGCTATGCACATATTTCAGTACATGAAAAAAACTACACCATGCCAAAAGCTCAGGCTCTTGGGAGGGACATGTTGTGCACCAGCAGCCTGACTAGTGGGGAAGCCTTACGCTCCTGAGCTAGCCACAGGCACCTGCAAGTCCTTGTGCCTGGTTCCCTGGGAGTGTTTGCTCGGTCGCTGGCATCTCAATCAGCCTCATTATGACACTTTCCTAGCTCACCGCGCTCAGCTCAGGAACATATTTAAACAATGCAGGATGCCATCAAGTTGTATGCTGACAGATGAGAGTAACACAAGCCCTTCCTTCTTGCTGGCTTTGAAAGCCCACTTGTGCAGTTTCCCTGACAGTACCAGCTCTGGCTGCTCACCCAGCTGTGCTGAGAAGCCAATGACTACTACTTCTGTTTTTCTGAAATGATTTCATGGCTTTTTAGCATAGCTGCCTGACATCGGTGCAGATGGTGATTTCAGCAAGGGACATCAGACACAGCTAGATGGAGGCAGTTATTGCTCCGTTCTTGCTTTGTGTATTAAATTGTTGTATGCAAAGACTGAGGAGCTTCCTGGCTACGCTGCTGCATGTGAGGGCAAATATGCCTTCCTGGGGACAAGACAGAAATCTGTGTGAGGAAGGAATGCAACATCAACAGCAGCAAATATCACTAGAAATTCCCAGTTTGTGCTCCAGCATACTCCTCTTTCCCTTTTTCCTTTTCCCTTTTATTTTCCCTTTCCTTTTCCCTTTCCCTTTCCCCCTTTTTTTTTGTTACATAGCTTTAATAGTTAGGTTTTACCTAGATATTCTCTAGATTCAGACATCTGAATGAAGGTTGATTGCAACAGGAAAAAGTTCATGCTGTCTGCCCCTACCTGCCCCACTGATATGGTTAGTTCAGCTTTACTGAAACAGTAGGTAAGGGAATAGAAGTCGCTTTTATTTCTAATCATGCAACAACTGTTATTAGTAAGTTAAAAATCATTACATGAAGGCAAAGACGAATACAACTTCTTGTAAACTTGCCCAGTTGTTAATTGCTCTAATACTCTTTGAGGTGTTTTTAAGGAGAGCAGTTCCTTTCTGTTCTCCCTGCTGCCCGCCTCCCCTCGTTGCCCTGCACTGCTGCTGCCGATTCTTGCCTGTCACATTGGGCATTCAGCAGTTAGAAAGGTCTGAGACTTGAAAATCCAAGTTATTTACTTGCCTTGATATGACTATCAAAGGGTTGAAGGTGCCTAGTGAGTAGGGAAATGCACCTGTAAGCATGTATGAGAAGCAATTGGAATCATATTTTCTCTTGAGCTTTCTCAGCAATCAAGCTGTCCCACCACTCTGAAAGTTTGCAGTAATGTTAATGAGATTGTAATGTCAGGAATAGGACCAAAACATAAAGTTATTAAAAAGTAACAACAGCTGGGATGTGGACCTTAAACCAAATCCAGATTCAGATATCAGCACAAATGAGTTGGCCTTGCAGTGAAGCGCAGGAGTGTCATGATAGTGTGAATGCCATGGGTTCCATATGTAGAACAGTTTTTTTGCGTGTCTGCTATATGTTTGTATGTAAATCAATTTATAGCAGTAAATGCAGCCATAATAAATCTTTGATTTCACTCAAATGTGAAAGTTCGAACAAATAATGTTGGGAAGCCATGGCATAAATACGGTGAAAGAGTAATAACCATATGTGATTAAAGATAGATGTCACTTGCATATGCAGTTCTGGATACTAGATTATGAACGTTTTCCTAATTTTTTTTTTTTCCCAAGGTATTTATTTTCTAGATTAGCATGTGGTGTTATATAAGTTACTAAAGTGTCCAAAAACAGTGATTAATGTTTGTAATCAGCATTCTTTGAC